CAGATTCACAGTGCTCCCAGTGCTCCCAGTGCCCATCCCAGTGCTCCCAGTTCCCGTTCTCAGGGATCACTTCCCGCTCCCGGTTCTTCTGGTCCCTTCCCGTGCCCGGTCTTGGTTCTCCCAGTAAGCCCAGTACCGATTCCCAGTGCCCCCAGCCCCAATTCCCAGTGCTCCCAGTGCCCCCCAGTCCCAATTCCCGCTGCTCCCAGTGCTCCCAGTCCCAATTCCCGCTGCTCCCAGTGCCCCCAGCCCCAATTCCCGGTGCTCCCGGTGCTCCCAGTGCCCCCAGCCCCAATTCCCAGGGCTCCCAGTGTCCCCAGCCCCACTTCCCGGTTTTCCCCGAGTTCCCAGTCCCACTTCCCGGTTTTCCCAGCGCTCCCAGTACCGCTTCCCGGTGCTCCCAGTTCCGGATCCCGGCTCACCCGGTGCTGCCCAGCGCCCGCAACCCCCGGTTCCAGTTCCCCCAGTGCCCGTTACCGGCGCGCCCAGCGCCCGTTACCGGTGCCCCCGGTGCCCCCGGTACCCGTTACCGGCTCTCCCAGTTCGCCCAGTACCGATCCCCGGCGCTCCCAGCGCCGCCGGTACCGATCCCCGGTGCCCCCCGCTCCCGTTAACCCTTCCCCCGGTTCTCCCAGCGCTCCCAGTTGCTCCCAGTTGCTCCCAGTACCGATCCCCGCTCACCTCATGCTGGCGGCGGCGGCCGGTCCGGGCCCTTCCGGTGGCGGCGGGGGCCGGACCCGCCGGTGGCGGCGAGAGGCCCCGCCCCCCATGGGCCCCGCCCCGCCCCTCCCGGTAACGGCGGCGGCGACCGGGAGGTGCCCCCGGGGCTCCTTAAAGCGGCAACGGCGGCGCGTGGGACCAGTAACGCCCAGTGTCCCCCCCCAGTGTCCCCCAGTGTCCCCCAGTGTCCCCCAACCGAACCCCCCCGCGGTCCCCCGGTGTCCCCCCACCCGTGTCCATCCGGTGTCACCTCGAGCTATCCCATTCTGGGCACTGGGAGCGACTGGGGGGCACTGGGGGGCACTGGGGGGGACTGGGGGGAACTGGGGGGGACTGGGGGACACTGGGAGGGACTGGGGGACACTGGGGTACACTGGGGGGACACTGGGGGGGACTGGGAGGGACTGGGGGGACACTGGAGGACACTGGGGTACACTGGGGGACACTGGGAGGGACACTGGGAGGGACTGGGAGGGACTGGGGGGCGCTGGGGGACACTGGGAGGGACTGGGGGGGACTGGGAGGCACTGGGAGGGACTGGGGGGACACTGGGAGGGACTGTGGGGTACTGGGGGGACACTGGGACTGTCCCGACGACTCCGAGGGGAACCGAGGAGCCCCGGGGTCGGTGCCCGGATCCCGGTGCCGATTCCAGATCTCCATTCTTGGTTCCCGGTTCCCGGTGCCGGTTCCCTTCTCTCCGGTGCCGGTTCCCGGTGCGCGGTTCCCGGCTCTTCGGTGCCGGTTCCCGGTGCCGGTTCGCGGTTCCTGGTTCCCGGTGCCCGTGTCGGGTCCCGGTGCCGGTTCCCCATTCCCGGCTCTCCGGTGCCGGTTCCCGGTGCCGGTTCGCGGTTCCCGGTGCCCGTATCGGGTCCCGGTGCCGGTTCCCCATTCCCGGCTCTCCGGTGCCGGTTCCCCATTCCCGGCTCTCCGGTGCCGGTTCCCGGTGCCGGTTCGCGGTTCTTGGTTCCGAGTGCCCGTATCGGGTCCCGGTGCCGGTTCCCCATTCCCGGCTCTCCGGTGCCGGTTCCCGGTGCCGGTTCGCGGTTCTTGGTTCCCGGTGCCCGTGTCGGGTCCCGGTGCCGGTTCCCCATTCCCGGCTCTCCGGTGCCGGTTCCCGGTGCCGGTTCCCCATTCCCGGCTCTCCGGTGCCGGTTCCCCATTCCCGGCTCTCCGGTGCGGTCCCGCCCCCCGCCCCGCCCCTCGCCGCCGCCGCCGCCGCCGCCGCCGCCGCCGCCCTTTGTCCGTGGCCTCGGGCCCCGCCATGGCGCTGCGGTGATGCGCGGCGGGGCCGGCCCGGGGGCGGCGGGGCCGAACGAGACCGGGAGCCCCATGCGGGGGCCGCCGCCATGGGGCAGGTCCTGGGCTTCGCCCACTGCAGTACGGACCGGGAACCGGCACCGGGAACCGGCACCGGGGAGCGGAGAAGGGGCGGCGGCACCGGGAGGGGCCGGGGATGGAGTACCGGGCACCGGGCACCGGGAACCGGGAACGGGGCGCGGGGTGGGGCTGGGGATGGAGGGTGCGGGAGGGGCTGCGGGATGCGGGAGGTACCGGGGATGGGGAACCGGGAATCGGTACCGGGGATCGGTACCGGCAGCAGAGAACAGGGAGGGGCCAGGGACAACCGGGGATGGGGGCACCGGGGCGGACCGGGCGGACCGGGGCTGCGGGAACCGGGAGGAGCCGGGCACGGGAGGACTGGGAGTGGCCGCGGATGGAGGCACCGGGAACCGGGGATGGATCCGGCACCGGGAGGGGACGGGGGGATCGGGAGTGCCCGGAGATCGGGGCAGCACCGGGAGGGTCCGGGGCTGCGGGAACCGGGAGGAACCGGGCACGGGAGAACTGGGAGTGGCCGCGGATGAGGGGTCCGGGAGTTACCGGGGGTAGCGGGACCGGGCACCGGGCTGCGGGAACGGGGATGGGGGAACCGGGATGGGGAAACCGGGCACGGCCGGGGATGGGATGCAGGGAGGAACCGGGGACAAAGGTATCCGGGGCGACGGTACCGGGAGGCGCCGGGGACACGGGCACCGGGACTTGAAGGCACCGGGAACACCGGGGATGGGGGGACCGGGAGGTCCCGGGGATGCACGAACCGGGATGGAGGGTCCGGAACTGACCGGGACCGGGACACGGGGCGCGCTCGGGGGTCCCGGGAAGTGCGGACCAAGTTTGGGGGTCCCCCCGTGCCCCCCCCCCCAGAAGAGGCTCCGTCCACGGCCTCCACCACGCCGGACTCCACCGAGGGTGAGCGGGGACCCCCCCCGGGCCGGGGGCTGTCCCGACCCCCCCCAGTGAACCCCAAACCCCCCCGAACCCCAAACCCCCCCCAGTGAACCCCAAACCCCCCCAGTGAACCCCAAACCCTCCCCGAACCCCAAACAACCCCGAACCCCAAACCCCCCCGAACCCCAAACACCACCGA